CTCAATTAAGAAACCAACAGAACTGCAACTACATGAAACCGAAAAGCATACTATTAAAAAAGAATGCTCGGCACTGGAAAAAACTCATTCTTCACCGTTTTGAGTACGAACAATGCTTCTATGGTACAGCAAAAAGCCGCGTTACCACTGAATGAATAATACCTTCGAAATGTTATTTCAATAGTAGCTCAAATTATTTGCAGATCTCTTTTTAGAGTACATTCTCTTGCGATCGCCAAGGAACATCTTCCTGAATAATGTAAGCTTTCGCGAGAACAGTACAAACATAAATAAAAACATTGTCGACGTGCTTTAGAAATGCAAATAATATGTTTATTATCTCGCTCACAAGAACGAATTTTCTAGCAGATTGAAAACAAGTGAGCAATTTGGAAATCATTAGACTCACTAAATACTTCCCCCTACACAGATACTTTCCTCGCTAATGTATTCCATTTTGTCAAGTTTACATCGTTTTATCATCTCAAATTTCCTTATTATACTTTGGAACAAAATAAAATCGTGAGGATTTCAGATACATATTTTATTTCCATAAAAATGTTCAGAACGTTTAAGTGTTTTTGTTACATTTGTCTCTCACCGTCATGTGTTCTTCGTAACACTCCCTTAGGAAATAACATTAATTCAAATTAAAACGAGGAGTGGAAAAACACACTCAGAAAGGTAGAGAACATTCAATTCCAGCCGCTTTTCTCTTTAATGAATAGTTAAGAATGGAATAATGAGATAAACGTTTTGTTTGAATGTTAAAAGAGAATGACATACATAAATAGATGGCAATTGAATAAATAAAAAGGTAGGTAATGGTTTATCTTTTCACTACTTAAATAATAAATTGAATGAATGAATAATTAATTGAAAATTTAAACAGCAGTCCATGGCACACACGATAATGGAGTAAGTCTGGGCTGCGAGACATTCTACGGCCAAATCTACAGAAATAAATCAAGAGAAGAAAAACCAAAGATTCGAGAGTGATTAACACAAAATAATGTAAGAAGATCTCAAATAAAATGTAAAGGGCAAGTGAGATTAAACTATTGGGTTATCATCTTCTCACCTGACTGACAACGTGCTGGACTTCATGATAATGAGAAAATGACCCTATTTTGAAGTTCTGCAGCTCAGAGGGTTAACCATAAGAAGGTTTGGTTGGTTTTTGTTTGGGGCATACTTGCTCATTTAACATTTACGCTTGTTTAATTATCAGTTTATGCCTATCATTAACCGCGTAACAAGAGATTCTACAAATTATACCACGTGTATCATTTTTTAGTGCCCATTATAGTTGCTTCACAGAAACCCTCCGATTACATTCGTTAGACCATTTCAGGAATTCCAACAGTAACATCTGATTGCTTAATTCCTGGAAGACGTGCTTGCATCCCAAAGAGATCTTGGACTGGAATACACATATCTGACGCTCGTTGTGCTGTTGGTCGAAGTGACAAGACTTCGATATCTAGTGTCTGTGGATGAACTATTTGTACCTAGTGATTGAAACTTTTGATTGGACAGTCACTTTTAATGTTGACGGATACAGGTTTAAATAATTGTATTAAATAATTTCTCAAAAGGTGAAGGAATAGTTGATTTTGTAGAGTAGTATGAATGGTATTTATTTAACATTCGTGGCACTATACTACTTGAATATAATATCTAGCAAAATGTGTAAAGTTTCTGAGGAGTGCTTCTCCATAAAAAATAAGGTATTGTAATATGTTTATACATTTACTTTTTTTTATTCTGACGAAGTAAGATATTGTACGTCGACGCTGAGAATGTCTATTAGAAGTTTTATACATTTTATCCCTCATGCTTCAAAGGGACGGGGAGGCGGATGACTGTCGGGCAGACAGACGTTTTGCCCTCAATCGATTTTTTGGTATCATGGACATATATTCCGTCTCCACAAGTTAGATGAACTAATTTCCTATATAGCTTAAGAACAAGATTCATTCACTTTTTTATTTTCAGGATCCCGCAATAAGAGCTTTTCAGTCAAAAATTCACAGATTTCTCCACACACGAATACAATACGTTACCTTCTTACGAAGCAAGGGTAAAAAAGTAAAAAGGAAGAAGGAAATATGAACCATCAAGTGCATTGGAATTAGATTCGCCAATTAGAAATTAATACATCTAGAAATCTCGTCAAAGCACACGGTTGTGTCTTGGAATAGTGTTTTCCAAGAGTAACTTTATTTTCAAACCATAAGTTCCACTTTTGACAATTCAAGGAGTTTCGACGTGTTGCGACAATTCTTGCAGTTCAGGCAATTAAATAGATTCCATGTTAGTTCAATCAGCAAACAAACTAACACTAAGTGTGTATCATGTTTGGCAGTAGTAAGGCTTGTTGTGGTATTGATGGCAAAAAAACAATTAAAATTGGAAGAACGAGGAGTTTGTACACCGGAAAGGTAAGTTTCCACAAATGCGCGAAACAGGTCTTCGTTCAATTGAATTTGTACCCCGAACGTATTAAGTATTTTTGTCAGCAGACAACTACCACCGCTATACATTAAAAAAATTCTCAATTTTTCGATTTACTAATAGTAGAACTTTAAGAATATTACTTTAAGAACATTAAAGAAAACAAAAACTGCGTCCTAATGGCAATTTTTTTGAAAAAATTTGGAGTCTTTTTTTTTAAAGGAAATAGGGTTTAAGCTTTACTGTAAATGCGAAATTCCAAGGACCTTTTCACAGAAAAAAATTGAGTTTTCGAAAAACTTGATTGGAAGTAATTTGAAGCACTTCCACTTACAAATACAATAGTGTTTAAAAATCGATGGAAATATGCATATTAACGGCGAGAGACATTTAAAAAAATTACAATATTTTTTTAAATTGCACATATTGCAAGCAATATTGATCGAAAACTACTAAAATTTTCAAAAAACCTTGCATGACCTTAATGAAAGAACTCTCTTTGAAAAGCAAATTTTATTAGATGAAAAAATCTCTATCCTCAATTTTGTAGTTGTCAGAAGTCGTCGCAAAAAATCAAACTTTAGAAATTTTCGAAAATTTAGAGTTAACAGTAAAAATCGGACCTATGCCACATTTGTCTTTTACTCTTTTAGAAGAAATTTACAAGAAAATTTGTAGCCGTTTTTGAGTAGCATTTAAAAATATACCGGGGCTTCATGTAAAGTACCCTCAAATTTTGAAAAATGTTTTTCAATAAATTACATGCTTCGACTCTAGTCAGATGGACAGGTTTTCCTTCAATTGGAAAAAAATGTACGTATGGTTAAAGTGGTAGTGGTATTCACAGACGGTCGGACGGACAGACGGGTATTTTGAAACAAAATATCTTTTTTTCAGTACCAGGGGCCTCAAAAACGTGTATTTCCGTTGAAATCTCGAAATAGATTTTTCGCAGCATTACATAACTTTATCTGTACTCCGTATACACGTATGTATACGAGAAAGTAAAATAGCTGTTTCGCACACGAAACAGAAGAATACGAAAAATCGTGTGTGTTAAAAATGCTTTCATTGCATTTAATAGACGCAATTTCAAGCGTAAACGATTCCTGATATTTTTTTTATTGTAGTCACCGTCAAATATCGATAAATCAACCGTCTTTCTTCATTCCTTAAGAAGAAATCATGTGTCACGAAAGCTCTCAGAGAAATATTGGTAGAAGAAGGCATTTATAACAACTCAGTTCATCGCCATGAAAAATGTATATTTGACTCTTTTAAGTAATTTATTCAAAAATCCCTGCAATGTACATGCATACCATAGTTCGGGGTTGTTTTATTCAATTGGTTCTCTAGACTGACAATGATTCCTGAACCTGCGATGTTTTGGTAAGAAATGTTTATCATACTTTCCTCGTATCAAGAAAGGTCTGATAATAATGTCTGATATTAATTATAATTAACGGGGGCTTCGTTGGTGGAACTGTTAGTTTATGTCCAAGTTTTATATCAAAGTTCGCGGATTCAAAACTGATCGAAGTCTCGGATTGTTAAGAGCGAAAACATCGCACGCCTTCCTTCGGATATTGTAGTGTAGTAGATTTACTGCACGTAAAATATCCACAAGCATAAAAGATACCTCCTTTTTTGCTAGTGGGAAAACGAGCGTAGCAAAATTTGCGATGTCAAAGGAAAGAACAGCCTGATGGTCTGAGCCTCGCCACGTAAAATATGGCATCAATGATTGACGGAATTAGGAAGTTTAATGTTGAAAACTGTTTTATTGAGTGAGTTAATGGCTGTGATGACTATGAGCTTTGTGGGTTATAGATAGATTCGACATGCAGATTTTTTTCCCTAATGGACCTTGTATGCCAGCTTTTTCTACACATTTTTGTATTTATGAGATACAAATTATCCATATACAGCAATATCGAGTGTTTGGATGTGAGGATACTTCACTCACGGCTACACCACTTCTCGAACACCAGTCGAGACGTGAGGCGATATTCGACGCGTCGCGGTCCCCCGATGGGAAACTGATTATTTGTTGTCGGATACGACCATAAGATTCCAAGAAATTTCCAAAAACATGTTTTTTACGTGTTTTGACACTCTAATCTAAGTGATAATGCCAGGAGTCAAACCATCGCCTCCTAAATAGATTTACGTAGATGGCGTTGATTAAACCCCAGTACCCAAAGGTATTTTTCGCTCAACACATCATAATTACAATGAATACGCCATAAACTTAGGCAGACCAAGTAAACCAATTGGGGTGAAGGCTGGCAATCTTCGCTACAGATCTTCCTCGTCACTGGCGTGGACAATAAACACAAACAGGTCCTGGCTTGGGAACACTGCTAGATGATAGAACTCAAATTAATGATAAATACATAGATAGAAGTATATTTTATCTAGCACACTCAATCCAAATAAATACAAAAAGTCCACAACGTGACAGAAAATCATTTACTAGCTGAAGTTAAACAAGGGTTTCATTTCGCGCCCTGCGGCTTCAGCGGAATCGTAATGGCCGTTACCTCTTGAAGAGCTGCACGTTGTTCTGCATGGAGTGCGCGACGGCGTGCAGCGCGTCGGCCGTCACGGCCTCCTGTTGGTAGTACTGCGTGAAGTTGTACTCGTGCGTCCACTCGGCCTGGCCGCGCAGGTTGGCCTCCGCCAGGTCGAGGTAGTACTGCGCGTAGTCCTTGACGGCGCCGGTCTCCGTGTCGAACTTGACGAGGCGCAGGCCGGGGTTGTTGGCGCTGTTGTGGTGGATGCGCCGCGGCGTCACCGACGGCGCCACCAGCGCCCACGACACGGGTTGCTCTGCGGACACCGGACGCTTCCGATCAGTGGGACAGTTAATGGTTAATTTTCTAATTAATTAATAAATGGATAAAAGACACTATTATGAGCATGTTAGTGAATCGTTCACGAGCACGGTAGAGCGAATGTACACTTTGAGTTGTTTTCGAACTGAATGCCTATAGCGGTGATGTCAAGGTCTCCTATTGGTGGCAGTAGCACGCTCCGTGGCACCGTGGCATGCCAAGAGTTTCTCAGCGCAACTAGCGTCGGGCAAGGAAACTATCCCGTAGTAGTACCCTCCGTTTTCCGATACTTATGGCGATGTCGAAACCTCCAACATGATGTTTCAGAGATTTAAAATATTGTGATCTAGATTGGGAGGAAGCGTGCCTTCAAATCTTATTTCAAGCATTTATCCTTAGTATTTTTAATAATTTTATCCTTACTTGTTTTATTTGTCAAAAATAAATTAAAGTTCATTTTCAATTCTTGTTTAAAAATAATTTATTCAATTGCATAATAAATGGTAAACATATATTTGAATAAGAAAGGGAAATAAGGACCTATCCATATGGGAATATTTATTCCACAATTGAATACATGATTAAAAATAGGAATTGAAAATGAACTTAAATTTATTTTTAGCAAATAAAATAACAAATAAGGGTAAAGTTATTCAAAATGTTAAGGATACATATTTGAAACAAGATTTTCAAACTGTAGTTAATAAAATTGTTTGTAAAGATTGTCAAAAGTATTCGAAGGACAAAAAAACTAGAACATCTGAACGTAAAATAAATATAAATGACTTAGCAGACATAATTCAATAAGAGAACAGAGTTTCAATAGGACATGGAATTGATTTTGAGAATATTCAAATTTTAGAAAGGTAAAAAAGGTATTATCGAAGATTAATTGCAGAAACATTGCATATTGAAACAAATACTGTTTAAATACACAGACCCAATAAATTCGCAAAAATACTTCCAATAAATTGACAAAATAATATAGGTGATTTGTACAACTTCTCATCTAAATTTACTTAGATTTGATATAGATTTACAATATTTATTTTGTTTTTTCATAGCCCTATTCCCTTCTTTCGAATAGCCTATTTTCTTATGTCCCTCTTTGGTACTTTTATTATATTTATGCAAAATCAAATCTTGTCAGAAAAGAATTTAATGAAATTGGTTTAATGAAATATAGTATTTAATTCCACAACATTTATCGAAATTTACTACAGATGAAATTGTAAATTTTAGAATGTGTATGAAGTTATTAATGATTTGAATGTAAAATTTGAAATTTCTTCTATAATTTGATATTCATTTCGAATTATTTGGAGTAATGTCGCAATTGTAATGTTCTTAAATCTTCAGTTACGAAAAGTTGAAATTGAGTATATGGACAAAGTCGTTAGCACTTTTTAAGCCGTAGAGAAAAGGGGCATGAACGACACGAAGTATTTGTTACAAACTTCGTGAAGCAATAAAAGACCATTTTCTTTACACACGTTTTGTAAAAATTCAAAATATTTTCTCTCTTCTGTGAAGCTTTTTTCGAAACCTTAAAATATCACTGTAAATAACGTGACTCTGCTTATTTTTATAAGACCTATATTTCATTAGTTTTTTGCATAGTATTTAGAAACAACATGAGGCAAATTAAAATTCTCTGAAGAACATATGACGAGTGATGTCAAGCACAGAGATTCACATGTAGATCATTAATACTTTGTCTCGTTCACAATTACTGATACCGCATTTCAAATACCTCAAACTCATGTTTCTACCTTCGAAAGAAACTTTTATACCTTTCAATGGAAGTTTACAATTCATTTATTGATTTAATGATATAGTGTTTCGAACAAGTTTTCAAATTACTGGGGCGAGAACTAGAGAGAGTATCTGCCAAGGAAGATGACAAAAGATTCTCTGGCGATTTTTCTCTTTCTACCAGTAGATATAATTTTCTCCCACTATAACAAAAATATTACTTGTACAAGTCATTATAAAATATACTCGTACATGTCAGACGTAGTTAATGATACAATAATAATCTAATTTACAATTTGCAATACCGTAGTTTCGTATTTCACTGTTATATCAGGTGACAACGAACGGTACAAACGAGAATCATAAAAAAAACTAATATCATTTCTCTTCTATTGTCCGGGAGAGCTGCAACCGTAACTTGGGAAGTTCAGTACCTATTTCGTCTGAGCTGCGATCACCATTGTCCGCATCCTCTCGTCCAGACTCCCCTCGCTTTCTTCCCCTCTCCCCCCCCCCCACAAGCGGACTGATCGCCGCTTCTAGAGCTCGCGTGACTGGCGCCCTTGCGGCTCCGTCATCCCTTAAATCCCCTTGCAGTCGCCTGCCGCCCAACGACCCTGCCCACATCACGTCATTTCCGTGGGCCCCTCGTCGTCGGCCTGTTCAAGCCCCATCGCGCCGAGGGAGGGCGCGTGCACCCCCCCCCCACGTCAACACGGCTCGCGCCTCCGCTCCTACTCACGCGAATTAACATTCTCCTCATTGCTACATCACTTCAAGCAGTTGTCCTCCGAAATCTACCTCCGCTATCAGCCAGATCCCTCCCTCGCTCCCTACCAACTTCCCTGATCGTCGGCCACAGACATTTCCTTGTCAACCATAAAATAGAGCTGTTATTTAGTTCTCGAAGAATTTCTTAGTTTCGTATAACAAAGTATATTTCTCTTCTAATGAATTTTATGCTTATGAACTCGTTCTATTATTATTATTAACATTATTATTATTATTATTATTATTATTATTATTATTACAAGCTTCTACAATTTCCTCAACAATGATGAATGAGGTATACATCGGAACTCATATTCAAGATACACAACAACTGTAGTAGCAATGTTTTTATTATCTTGTTTTGCAGGTAGTACAAAGAGCTATTCATCTTGTAATTTTTAGAATGTACACTTTTCTATCACTTTTTTATAATGTGCATATTAAATCAACTGTATTCACATTATTTTTGCTTTCCAAATTTGATTATTAGTTTGGATACAGCCCACTTTCCGAGACCTCTTTGGCTTAGTAAACGAAGCCACACGTCCATTCATCTCATTATTTTTAGATGATTATTATAATTATTTTTTGTACGAATTTTATCCAGTCAACAATCAGTTTCCTTTTAGGTCCCGATGGACCGCATATTCGACCATGCACTAGAGAGTTGCGGGCTCCTCAGATCTGGAGTCTGCAGACAAGGCCCTCCACGACAACACATATGAGAGACAAGGGACAGACAATCATGCCCAAGGCGGGACTCGAACCTGCACTATTCGGACCAAATTGCAGATTTATACAAGCTCTTAGCCACCTCGGCCGTTCAGGTCGTCGAATAATATTTATTATTGTAATTATAATTATTACTATGTAATTATTATTATTATTATTATTATTATTATTATTATTATTATTATTATTATTATTATTATTATTGCAATTATAAGTAATTTTATTGTTGTTACAAGAATATATATTTCACCACCCTTAAATATGTTGATAAGCCAAATTTTGCTTGGAACGAGATGGGTTTTTACCATTAGATTCCCTACGTAATGTGCACAAGGATGTTTAAGAACGAAGCAAAAAAATTATAAAATCCTAAGCTGATTTATGTACTCTATTGGACAATTCACGCTGTAACAATGATACGAGATCATGAATTAAGATTAAATAAGTTCATTGGTCTGCTTATTCGCCCTAGAAGATTGGTTCAATAAGTATCAGATAAAATATACGTTGCTCTCTTGTAAAATTTAGTTTTCACGAGTTATCACCTAATTCACAGGGGCTAAAATATATATAGATTTTAATTATTAAAAAAACTAGTTTACCAAAACAAAAATACAATTAAATAAACACTTTGCGATATCTGAATTACCTGACTTTCGCCATATTTCACCCGTCTTCGTACGCTATTCTCCCTTCCGGACAGACCTTCAGTCACCTGACATCTGCAGCGGCCCTTAAATCCGGCCGTAATTTCAAATTGGACCGTAAATCATGACTATGTCAGTTGTAATTATTGGCTCAGCAGCATATTTTAGAGCCGACACCGTGCGTTATCGCAGCCTTGCCTAAGATTGCTACACAACGGCTTCAATGTGTATGGTTTGGAAAGCTTTAGATGGTAGAAAAGAGAACATTCTAGATATTTTGATAATCTTTCATGACAGCGCTACGCCAAATCTTAAATTATAAGGACATGTACAATATTTGCGTGTTGTTGAAATGCACTTTATTTGCCGTAAGCCTCAGAATATTCAAGATGACTTATTCTGTCGTTTTATTTACGGGTTCAGTGATATAATTAACATTCACAGAAATTATTTTCTGAAACATTGTAAGTGATGTGCTGTTTATGTCAATCAACACTTATGACTGAAAAGTAGCAGAGACAATACTATTCGTTTAGCCAGGTAAAATAAGTTTAACGGGCAGTCACGATTCCGTTCATTTCGAATATTAATTGTAATACAGTCGACTCCGGTTATAGTGAACTCATGGGGACTAACATTTCCGGTTAACTATATCCGAAGGCAAAATTATAAGTCAAAATTATATGCGCAAATTAAATAGAATTTCTTCAGAAAGATTTAATTTATTAATATAGAGATAAGGCAAAATAAATTAACACCACGAACGGGAAATTTCAATATACTTATTTGAACTTAAAAAACAATTATTTTCAATTGCTTCGTGCATTTTCATTAGTAATTTCTTTTGATTCTTCTCCAAAGTTACTGCTCTCTCTCCATACTTGGTTCTGCATTCAGCGCTGCTGGAACACCGTCCCACTCTCTGAAGACCCTTTTGCGCGCCTAATAACATACGAAATGCTTTCGGTAGCGGGATGGCGCAAGCGGCTAGTGCCGGCGATCGCTTTCCCATGCGTTACGACCGATATCGCTGGGCTGTGGCAGTCGCGAGCTTTCTGTCGCCTACTCAACGCGCTTTGTCCAGTGGAATATCAAGTAACACCATTGAAACTGGAGCAAGCAATTGCGCGTCGCCAGTAGTAGCCTACGCAGGACACGGCCTGTATGTCCACAGTGAAACTAAGTGGCATAAAGTCATCAGTAGGTGTTTTTTTCGGGTCTGCTACCTTCAACTCAAGGGAGTCTTCTTCCATTCTTTGGCCGACAATATTGTTTCAAGCTGCGTAGTGTTGGAATTTGTCGCAATGAGGCGATATATTATTTTTAGGAAGAAATTAATTCCCAGGAAGTATATCCTACATTCACTACAGCTGAGGTTCAGATTCACTATAACCGACTGTTCTTATGCTTATTTGTAATGTAAGTGAAGCAGGACCAGCAACTTAAGTCCACTATAACCGAGGGTTTACTATATATGAGTTCATTACAACCGGAGTCGACTGTATTTTGACTGATCCATTTTCCAATGTGTGTTCGAACGTCTCTCACTTTCAAGAAAGGCTACATCGTCGATTACATCGTTAAACTAAAGATGGTACATCATACATTTTCTCGAATTGTTTGTAAAGTTTAGGTAATATTATAATACTAGTTGAACCCATGAAAATATTTCAAACATTTGTACTCGATTGAATAAGCCATCTCAGCGGGTGGCAGCCCCCCTTACTGAGGATCACTTCGTTGGTAGAAGCAGATGCCTCTGCATGTGGTTTCAACACGCTGGCGTATTTTCCCAGATAGGGATTTCAAATTCAAAACATAAGTCCCAGACCAACGTTCTTATCCATTATACTACAGTGGCGGTTAGATATATCAATAGTCCCAATGCGTCAATAACAAATTTGAACTTTCTCGGTTATCTCAAATTGAGAGTTTTTATTTGAAATATCAGCTTTTGAGTCAATTACTCCCATCTCAATCAGGTATTCGTCCAGTTCCCCTCTCCTCGAGCAAATGCTGAGATGGCCTCTTGTTTTGCTTCTGGACATAAATGTAACTTCAAATTACTACTTCTCCCCATAGCAGGTCACACACAGTTTTTAACTGTTTTTGAAACTGTTAAATAAATAAATAGAACATAGGCCGTACTATAAAACAGTAGTGATATATTTGAGCAATAAATGCAATTGGAGATTTTTGAGAAAATTAATTCTAATGGTCTAATTCTGAAAAATATATTTCTTTAAGAAAACATTACCGTGTTATTATCTTATTGTAGTTGTAGGAGGGGGCCAAAAGAAATTTAACTTTTGCAATTTTCGATTGTGGTGAAAACTGTAAATTGGAAATTTTTGTACGAGTACTTTGTTATATTCCAGCCCAAATTCGAAATAAAACATATGGAGCTATATTTAAAACAAGTTTGAAAATATCCTAGTGTAAAGTAACCCTCAAATTGAAAGATTCCTTTCAACTTAAAGGACTTACTGCACCAACAAGGTATACGAGTGGAGGTATCTATACTATGTATACGAGAAAGAAGCTACCAACAAGTATACTAATAAGGTACAGGAGAAAGAAACTAGTGATAATACGGAATTGTAAAGACTTTGCTGTAACGGACAGTTTTCTAATTTCTTTGGCATGGGATAGTCTTCGCTTAGCCCCATCATCCTCCAAGGTGCCATCTATCGCCTGTCGAGAACATTTTTTCACAATTTCTCAATTTTTGGTTCCTTAGTGGTTGAACTGAAATATGACTTTAAGAATAATAAGAAAGTGTAAAACCTCGTCCTATGCAAAATTTTCGTTGAAGAAATTGTAGCCGATATAAAGAAAATGTTTAAGTGTTTCTGTAACTGCGAAATTTGAGTTTTCGAGAAACTTCATTAAAAATTACTTCAAGACTTCTACTCATAAATGCAAAAATTAATACACATTGCCAGTGATATAATATTTACGGCATTTCAAAAGAAGGTATTTCAAAAAACAATTTCTCAAGATAAAAAAACAAACAAACAAAAGATGTAATGAAATTAAGGTATTTATGTAAGGCATTTATGTCACGCTTTTCAATCCTTTTAACTCTGTAAGTTCAAAAACTAAAGAGAAAGAAGCTGCAGTTGTTTTTGAGCAAATGGCATGTGGTATGGAAAATGTATAAGACATAATTTTAAACACATACACTTTTCAATGCAACAATCAACAAATCACCGGTAATGTAATATTAACGAAGTGAGAGAGAAGTAAAAAATTAAATTTGTGTACTTTTTGAAAGAAATAACAATAAAACACCACCACCAACTACAAACGAATACAAGAAATTGTGGTTTTTGTCATCTCATACAGAACTGTCTCTAAAATAATAATGACGTATCTACTCATCATCGGTTGTTTCTTTTCACTTCAGAATCGAATCCTTTAAATATCAAAACAAGTAATTCGTTTCGCCTGAGGTCACTAAAATCGTGAGTGAGTATTACCGAGTTGAAAATAAATCTTCTTTTCCAAATCAAAGATCTTTCCTTTATCCGAAAACTCTTTAGTACTTGAGTTTGTAATTTTCAGATTTTAATAACCGGAGCATGAATTTAATAACCGGAGAAGTAATTTTTGCGCTCTTAGCCAATTTAGGTTTATTACAGAGAAATGGAGTCAGCAAATTTATTCATTAGCGAATGAAAATACGTTTAAAATTCAGTAAATAATCGAGTTGTAAAGTTAACTTACTTCCCTTTTCTTTTCACTCTAATATCACATTCCATATTCAGCAATTCCATTCACGACGTACTTAACTCCATTCCGTTCTGTGGCATTCAAGTCAACTTCTCGTTCTGGCATTCAGCTACCCCTCGTCCACATAGTTTCCTTTCAAAGTGCGTCCGTGCTTGTTTACTGATACGCACGAAGGTTCAAGTCCGCACACACAAGAGAAACGTGTATCAACTCTCGTCGTCTAATTATTGTATATTAATGTACCCTCAGACGAGAGCGTCCGGGCCTTCGCGAGCTGCAGCCCTCGCCGTCCTGGCTTGCGAGCAATGTCGAGGACAGGGTTGTTCGGGAGCGGCTATGGAAGCGGAGAGTGCATGGCGAAAGTGAGGAAGGAGAGGACGAGAGGATTTTTGAGAGAGATTCAGTTTGGATGGGCAAATGTAGTGAGAAAGCATTTGTCGATAAAGTAGGCTGGCGGAGAAGGTTAGGAGGTACAGTAATGAGAAATGAAGATCTCTGAGCGCCTGACGGGCGCTAATATAAAATTAATTTGTTGAGTGCTGAAAACACTCACGAAGTATTTTTATCGGATGAAGTTTATAGTAGTGGAAAAAGAAATGGTAGAAAACATACGTGAGTAATTAAGAAATGTAATACCTCAGGTTCTCTGAGAATTGCAGTTTGTAACTGATGAAGATACGTCCATTAATAGGAATGACAAGTAATAAAGGGTGTTAGAAAGAGTAAGGAATGCTGGAGACACGAAATACAACGTAAATAACCTACTGGAGACCCGTAATCTTCCAACAATTTTCAATTCAAAAGAAAATTATCCATGAGTGTCTATGACGTCAGAGAAGGTTAATTAGTTGACACATACGATAAAATGTGATAGAAAGAGAGTACGGTGCGTACTTCAGGGGCATGAAAACTACGATGTGGCGAGAAAATTTGCCAAAAGCAATCATTTAGGGTCGCGGGGAGCGTGCACAATTTCGTACCAAAGCATCTAGAGACGCAATAGGTCTGAAGCTGGAGCCGCGGGCAAACGCAACGGCAGGTACATGGCTCTCACGCGCGTTAGGGCACGCAGCGGCGTGCGGCGCAAGGCAGGTGGCGGGGGCGGGGCGGGACGCGGGGCGGGGGCGGGGCGGAGCGGTGTGACCGTTGGCGGCGTGACGGCGCGGCGGCGGTAGGGCTGCAGCCCTTCGCAACCCTTTGCGTCGAGGGCTCTCGCCCGAAAATGGCAGAGCCAGGAGAGGGCGAGTCGGAAGCTGAGCGACGGTGTGGCGGGTTCGGGCA